GGGGGGGGGGGGGGGGGGGGGGGAGAGACTTTTGGCTTCATGCAAGGAAAGCAGCAGAAGCAGCAGAAGTCTTTCTTTCTCTCCCCCAAACTCTGCCAGAAATGAGTCTTTGTGAGACTTGTCACGCTGGTGAAGCCTCTGGAAGCAGGAGGCCTTGCAGGGTCCCAAAGACTCATTTCTGGCGGAGTTTGGGGGACAGAAAGAAAGACTTTTGCTGCTTTCCTTGCATGCAGCCGTAAGCAGAAGAAGAAAGAAGCAGGCCAGGCACATGGGGTAAGTGGGGCAAGTTCCCCCTCTCCGCCCTTTCCTCCCTCCCCTCACTACTTCGTGTTGTTCGCAATGCAAGCGATGCAAGCCTTGTGATCCCACAGACAATGTGAGGCGGTACAGCCTTGTTCCCACGCAGCCTGGATTAATTGCTTTGGGGGGCTGCTTTGTGGATGACACTTCTCTGTGGACCACCAAAATTTTCTTGCGGCCCACTGGTTGATGGCCACTGGACTAGAAGACCGCCAAGGTCCCTTCTAACCCTGTTATTCTATGTTCTGGAAGAAGAAACCTGCACAGATGAAGCCGTAAAGGTTACTTGCAATAACAAAATGACAGTTGGAAGGGACCTCAAGGGTCTTCAATCCAACTCCCTGCTCAGGCAGGAAAGAAGATGGAAAAAGATGTCCTACCTTTTTAAGGTCCTTCCTCCAAGGAGGAATTCTGAAAAAGCTACTCTAATGGTCTTAAGTTGATACCAAGGGGATCCCTGGGAAGTATTCTCTCCCAGGTTTCTTGAATTATGAAGGCTTACTAGACTTCGTTGATCAAGATAACTGTTTCCTTCCACATTCTATGCTTTATTCTTGGATTGTTATTTCTCATGACCAGGTATGATTTATCTACCACAGCTTCCTACAATCCCTTACATTTGTAGCAGAGGTGGGTATTCAGCAGGTTCCGACCAGTTCTGGAGAACCAGTAGCAGAAATTGTGAGTAGTTCGGAGAACCGGCAAATCCCGCCTCTGACTGGCCCCGCCCACATCTATTCTCCACCTCCCGAGTCCCAGCGGATGGGCTGGATCTTCTTTGGTTGCCCTGCACAGGGGAACGGAGCTGGAAAGTAGTTTAGTGGGGCTGGGGAGGGAATGGGGATTTTGCAGTATCTGTCAACTAAAAAGATACTCCTTTGGTCTTTTTAGCTGCCAGAAAAAGGGAGGCGGGGAAAACAAGGCATTCTTGAAATGCTTACATAATCACCTTGACAGCCCAAAGTTGTCAGAGCATAAGAAGGTTATTGGAGAGCATGATGGATGACTCTTGGAGATGGATGTATCCCATTGGAGAAGTCACATCTAGGGGATGGGGGAAAGACCAGGGTCAAGGGAGAAATGTATGGTGTCATTTAGTGTCGGCTGCACCCAGCCA